TTAGACGTTCTAATCCTCAGAGAATCTCCAATCTAAGAAAACTCTAAAAGGGTTTCTTACGGAGGTAAGATCAGGAGGTAAGGTCAGCTTAATTTTATTTTATTGATCAGGAATACAAAAGGATTAAGATTTCTAGGATCAATTTCACTGTACTTTCTACGCTCTGAAAATGATATTTTCTTTTGATCTGATCCTTTGAAAAATTCAACTTTGTATCTTTCTCTACGAGCACCCACAAGCATCTCGATTAACAGGTGGCTCGAGCACACCTGCATATGTATCAAAATGGGCACCGAGAATATTGAAAGCGGAAGGCGTCAAGCTTTTTGCTCATAGTGCGTTTCGTTCTGGTTCTGTTTGGGTCTCCCCCTTTGCCCCCCCACTTACCGTCTCTTCCCCCACTTTCTTCCTCCCCCACTACTGTCTCCCGTCGTTCGCTTCTGCCGAACAGCTGATGCATGTTCGCGAAATTCAAAGGGGAAATGGTGAAGAGAGAGAGAGAGAGGTGGCTATTCACAAAATACAGTAAACAGGCGATACAATGACACTGGAAAGAGACTCTGGAAATAATAATAATGGTATCCCCACTGCAGGGGGCCCACTGTGATTCGCCTGCCTTGACTCTCCATTATTGTTGCTTTCTGCGGGTGTGTGTGTGTTGTGTTTGGGTAGAGCTTGCCGGCCGCTAAAAGCAACAACAACAGCAAAAAGCCACTGGACGGTACGGATAATATTCCCCCCCATTCGAATCCACGGCCAAGTTCAGTATCTTCAGCACATTCCATGCCGCCTATTATTGCAACCGAAGCTGGGAATACACGGGAAACACAAAAGCAACAGCGACAGGGCATGGAGCGGGAGAGGGAACGGGAGGGACAGCAGGCATCGGAGGAACCAGGAACCAGGAACAGGCACAGGACTCCAACTCCTTTGTGACCCAATTTAAAGCGAGAAGCGCGAAAGTGAAGTTCTAGGTGTGTGTGTGTGTCTGTGGGTGAAAATGTTTGTGTGGGCGGAAAAGCTATGTTGGAGGTCTAAGAAAACTAACATGGAAAGACAATAAAGGAATTAAAGTGTTAAATTTTTAAATTATTAAAAAACTACAATAAATAAATAATTTAACAGAAAATTAAAACCAATCCAATTTTGTTGAGTCGCATAAAAACCCACTTTAAGGGGAAGTGGAAATTTGAGGCAAGTAGAATTGTTGTTTATATTTAAAGAGCTGAAAAACACGATCTGACTTTGAAATGTTGAGTATTTCTGGAATTTAAGACCTTTATATATGATATCCCATAAACATAATTTTTTGGGTAAAATCGAGAAATTGGTATCAAAATGTAATCGAAACCATTGAAATTGTGTCCATAAGTATGCTACAAAATGTTATACCTCACATTAAAGAAATTATATAGATAGTATTATCTGAATTAGATATTAAATTAAAACATAAAAATAATAATGGTTTTACCTAATTTAACATTTTCTATTGGAAATGCCATCCGCTCCTGGCGACTTCCGGTTCTTCAGCTTCCTGATCCTGGCCTGCACTTCCGTGAGCAGGATCGGTGCGATGGGAGGCGACATTTGGTGTGGTGTCTCCAGAGATGCTCGGACCTTTTCCGTCCTGTCCTTTGAGGATGTGGCAAACGGGGTAAAGCGTTCCTCGAGACTTTCCGCGAAGGCTTCCGCTCGGTCCAAAGGTGTCCTCGCCCAGTTTCCGTCAGCTTTTTTGACAGGGAACTTAGGGGTAGCTTGTCGCTTGTTCTTGCCCGCAAGCTTCCACAGCGCGTAGTCAGTGTCCTTGTTTGGTGTAGCCTCCTCCAGCTCCCTGTCCATGCGCTCCTGTCGCAGCTGTTGCAGCATCCTCCTGACGCGGTGAGCAAGCCTGCGGTACACTCGCAACACCCTGGCTTCGTGCGTCCTTGCATATTCCCTCCGGAGCCTGTGTTTTAGGTCAATCAAGGCCCTGATGTCCGGTGGCAGAGAAGCGCGGGGCACCATGCGACTGTTTCCTTCCGGAGGCGCGGCGAGCTCTGCTGCAGCCTTGATTTTGGAGTCCAGGAGGGTGGTGGCGTCGTCTACGTCATTGGCTGTGTTGATCTCCATATGCAGGTGTATTGAGTCCTCCAAGGTTCTTTTAAACATCCTGACGTCAGATCCGGGGGGCAGGAGCGTCCTTCTTGGCACATAAGCGCTTCCTGGCAGGTGTAGATTGACTATGAGTGGGATATGATCCGAGCTAAGCTCAAAGGATTCATTAATAGTCAGCCGACGTCCATGGAGTCCTTTAAGTAGGGCGAAATCCAGAGCAGAAGGGGTTCTGCCGTTGCAGGGAAAGCACGTAGGTCTGCCAGTGGCCAGGATTTGTGTGTTCGTGTTATCCAGGGCCTCAACCAGCATTGTGCCTCGCCTGTCAGCTCGGAAGTTGCCCCAGTTGCGGTGCTTGGCGTTGAAGTCTCCTCCTAAGATGGCTTTATCTCCACAAAGGTTAAGCAGAGCCTCAAATCCATCACATGTCCAGGTGGGGCGAGGGGGAAGGTAGACCGCTGCCACATCCAGATCTCCAAAAGGCGAGTTGAGAGTGATCATCGCCATCTGTGCCAATCCCAGGCGTATCGGGTTGTGCTGAAAGTAGGTCAGTCCACTTCTGACCAAAATCGCAGCTCCACCTCTGGTTACAGCACCAGGGAAGTCAGCTCTATGGAGGAAGTACCCAGGAATGTTGAAGAATACTCCGTGTTTAAGGAAGGTCTCAGACACAAGCATAATGTCAATGCTATGTCTTGAGAGGTACACCAGAAGCTCCTCTCGATTAGCAAGGAGACTTCTGGCATTCCATATACCCACTTTAAGGGTCCCCATGGAAAGTTGGCATTCCTCTTTTCAGCTCTCTTACAACAAGAGATATCGTAGCTAAGGAGGAAGCCAATTGGTCCACAGTGGCCTTGAGGCTGGTAAGCATGGTCACTATCCTCGTCATGTCCCAATCAGAGTCTGGGTTGGGTGGCGCTGTAGTATTATGAGACCTGCCTCGGCTTCCTAGCACTGGGAAGTCGTCCTGCAGGTTATAGCTTGCCTGCCTGAATCCAGGAGGAAGTTCAAAGGCTGCTTTCCTGGACATCCAGCAGGCCTTTGACAGGGTCTGGCATGAAGGACTCCTGTCCAAAATCAAGAAACTCCTGCCACCACAGCTATATGAGGTTATCTGTAGCTACCTCATGGACAGGAGCTTTCAAGTGGTCCAGGACGGAGTGGCCTCTACCACCAGGAGGATTCGAGCTGGAGTCCCACAAGGAAGCGTGCTGGGGCCCACGCTTTACAACCTCTTCGCCCACGACGCGCCGCTGCACCTAAGCTCAACGAGCACGTGTGCTGCCACGTACGCGGATGACACCGCAATACTGGCCAGGTCAAGCTGCATCTACAGTGCGACGGACAAACTCCAGTTGCTTCTAAAGAAGTTTGAAAACTGGGCTTGTAGATGGAATGTGGCCATCAACACTGATAAGTGTGCGGTGGTCATGTTCACCCTGCGGAGAGGCACTTGCCCTGGTGTCTTTCTGTACGGTCAGCTCCTGCCACAACTTGTGGAGCACACGTACCTGGGTTTGACGCTGGATAAGAAGCTGACATATGCGTCGCACATCAAGCAGGTCAGAGCCAAACTCCAAAACACGGCCAGGCGTATTAGCTGGCTTACTGGTCCGAAATCGAAGTTGAGCCTGGCATACAAGACCCGCTTATACCAGTCCCTGCTTGCTCCAATATGGAAGTATGGAGTGGCGGTTTATGGCACTGCAGCCAGAACCCACCTACAGAGAATACAGGCGTTCCAATCTCGGTTCCTGAGGCGCATCTCAGGCGCTGAGTGGTATCTTCGAAACCTCGACATAAGAAGAGAGCTACGCGTCCCTGCTGTGGGAGACGCCATTAATACCATTGCTGCCCGACACCGAGCCAGGCTGACTGGACATCCCAACCCGCTGGCCAGAGCGCTGCCTACTACGAGAGGAAGACGTCGACTGAAGAGGACCACTATCCGGGAGCTGCCAACCCGGCAAATAAACTGATTTAAATTGTATTGTTATTGTTCCTTTATCTCTACTACATGTTAATTGTTATTTGATACTAGTAGAATTGTTATTGTTGCAGCCAAGACTAAAGAAACCAATAAAACTTTTCAAAAAAAAAAAAAAAAAAAAAAAAAAAAACATTTTCTATGTGAAAATTGTTAAATATTATAAAGATTTACAATTCAGTATAAAGTTCAGATAAATGTCCTTCGACTTGATCGTTTTAAAATCTAGAACTAGGCTAGTGTGCGAATCCTCAAGTCCGACTTCCAGGGTAGGGTATCCTCTGTTAGGGTATATTCACATGTTGCTAAAATCCGCTGCAAAAGCTGATAAGCAACAACAAGAACAATATCAGCTATGCGTTTTGTTGTGTCGCCTGTCGTCGTCCGGTTTCCGAGTCTCAGTTTTCTCTCCGTTGAGCATTTAATGAGCCCACCACACACTCTCGCCATTGTGTGTGTGTGTGTTTGTGTATGCGTCATGCCTGCTGAGAATTGCCCAAATCGGCCAATAAAAAGATATATCCCCAAGCGAACTATATAGATATATCTGCAGATGAACATATGTACATACATAGCTTGCATCTCCCAAACGTACATAGCGCATTACATCACTTATGCGTAATTTACACAACCGTGTATTTTACACCAATACTTGGAGAAAGGCCGAGCGCTGCGTTGGCGTCGACAGAGGCAGCGAGCAGCGGATTGTTTTTGTTGTTTGCCTGTGGCTCTGCTCTCTTCGCTGCCTTGCTCTGCTCTGCTTTGCGGTACAGTACGGTTTTGCTCCGAGTTTCTGCTTCTCTGCTTTCCTGCCTTTCTTCCGTCGCACAGTGGGCTCCAGCAAATTAGAACCAGTTGGCACTAGAAATGATCGTAATCTAACATTGTCGGAGACTTGGTATATTTTAATACAAAGCATGCTTGATTTTATTAAATAGCTAAGAAACTAAGACTTATGTTATATTTATATCATTTAAACAGAAGCTTTTTAAAAAAAAAAAGATATTCAGACTATGCTGTCACTTATTTCTCAAGACTTTAAATTGAACTGATGATATGACTCCAAAAACAATAATCTTGGGAGCTCAGCCCAATAAATTCAAAATAAAGTTCAGCCTCTTAAGCATAGCTTAATTGGATATGGATATTTACAGATTAGTTTTTTCTTACATTTTTCCTTAAAATAAAAAGCACAACGATTAAGGAACGAGGAAATATCATTAGAAGACATGATCGTTTTCATAGATCACTACTACTGTGTAGTTTTTTTTTTTAGCTTCAAATTTCAGTTCGTGAAAGTCCTAGCAAATATGGCATGCTTTTCTTAGTTAAACATATCCACCTCGTTGGAGTGACCATTAATCTTGCGACGCTCCATTGAAATCATATACTGGATCTTTGACTGAATCACCATAGCATTATCCAATGGCATATTGCGGATCTGGGCGGCTACGCTCAAGCCGAAAAAAGTAAACTCATCCTCGCCACGCATTCCCAAGCCCATTCCCAGTCCTCCTAGTCCAGATCCTCGGCCCAAATCAGCCACAGAGCCCAGTCCTGTTCCCACGGCTTCAGTCTTCTCCGGCATGGAGCCGGCGGCCGTTATGGGAAGAGGCATTTGAACCGTAGCTGGACCCGGGTTCAGTTCGGCTATCTTGTCCAACGAATGCGGAGGGGTTAGTGGTTGCTCCATGATCATGGGTTGGGGTAGGACAGTAAAAAGAGATGGATTTGGTGGCACCGGGGGCGTCTCTGAAGAATCCATCTCCTCGGGATCCGGTTTAATCTCGTTTTGAAGCTTAACAGACTTCAGTCTGGTCAGACGAATCTCCAATCGCTTCAGCGGCGGAGCGGGCATGGTATTTTTCTCAGCCTGGAAGAAAGGATATGAAAAGAAAATACGAAATATACATAATTGCGATGCCCATGAAGATCGTTCGCTCGATCGTTCGAACGCTCTTCTAAAACTTTATAAATAACTCTAGAAGATATATTCTTAGTTATAGATTCCTTACCGTGTCAACGAACTCGTAGAGAAACTCGTGGAGCGGGCCAAACCATAATGCCTTGGGCGAATAGCCCGGAATGGTACGGATCTTTCTCAGCTCCTGGTGGTAGCTAGTGCGAAGATTCTTGATCTTTATCCTAATGCCTTGGATGGTGATCATTGATTCCATTGGCTCCGTATCGGCATTGATCCCCACCTGGATACGCCGATAGGCGGCGTTTCGTGCTCGCCGCAAATAGGGACGCTTGTTCCACAAACAGGGTTCCCGGCCGTAAAGCTCCACGAACTTGAGCGTACGCTCGTCCGAGAAGCGAAAGGGCAGAGCCACGCCCCTTGCCGTTACGTTGGGATTGGACATGTTATGCGACTAGTGGAAAACGTTGGATCTCTGAACGTGCTTTTATTTGTGGAACCTACGCAGAACGACCTGCCCGTGCAACTGATTCGCGCCAACTGACGCTTTCAACTTGCTTTCTGCTCTTCTGCTTTGCTTTGCTCGCTCTCGGCCCCCGCTCTCTCGCCATCTTTCTCATGTGATGCTTTTTGTCTTGTAGATGCTTTTGTATTATTTTCGTGTTAGCCTGGTTTCAAAATATCAAAGCAGAAATGAAATTTACCGTTTGAATTGCAAATCAATCTTAAAGCAACAGTTCCCCTCCCCAAGGAACGAGAAGCAGCCATAAACGACTATAAAATGTGTTTTTTCTAGTGAGAAAAATTGCATATCTTTTTAACCCCATAAGATTTTGAGAAGTTTTTAAGACTTAAAGCCCCTTTCAATAAACCTGTAAACAAAGTATTCTCAAAAGCAAAAAGCAAAATCGGATTGCAAAAATTTGCTGATTGTGCTTTGTTGCTTTTTGCGCTGCTGCTGCTGCTGCTGTCGCTCCCAGTAACTTGATGGGAGCTAGGGAAGCGATAGAGAGAGCAACGCGCAGGTCCGTTTTGCAGTTGTTATAAACCTGGGGAATACATTGGAGTTGTCATAGAAATTATAAGCAAATTTCGCGCTCTCTTGTGTGGCGGCCACTCAGTCTCTCGCTCTCTTTCCTTGGGGCAACTTGATATGATGGTACAGAAAGAGAATGGACGAAGAGAAATGATCGTGAGAACGGTGGAACAGCCGCATTAGCGGGCAGCGCTAATATAACGGGAGGGATTTTGCAATAATGCGGCAATATTCCTTTGAGTTTAACCCCCCTCCCCCTTTTGCAATCTGGCTGCAAAGGAATGCAGTTTCCAGGTACGTACGTTCCATCATCTGCCCATTTGTCTGTTTTCTTACTGCCTCTCCTTTTCCTTCCATTCCCAACAGCGCGTGACATCGTTATCCTTTGTTCGGCCGCAAAGGAAAAACTGCAGCGACAATTCTAGGATCTATTTTACCGCCAAGCCCTTTGTTCCCATTTTCCGGAGGCTGTTTACGTTTTCGCTAGGCTGTGGGAAAATGCCTACTAAGCATCTGCCGGCTATAAATTGGTGCGAAACATAACGGTTATCGAAATTTTTTTCAACCTATGAATATGTTTGCAATATTTATATTTATATACACATGAGTTCTATTAGCAAAGTTTCATTCAGATATCTACAAAATATTCCAGTGACTTTCACAACATTTACAGAAATAAACCACGTCCACGTAGTAACGAAAAAAAACATGGAATGTTTTGTATTTATTCATAAAACTTCAGAAAAAAATGTACATATTTTCTATAAAAATATAAAGTCAAAAAAAAAAAAAAAATATATATATATAAGTCCAAAAGCTTGTTTCAGGAGTGTTTGAAGTAAAGTTTATAAAACAAAGTTAAATAAACCAAAAAATAAAATATTTATATGTAGATTCTATGAAAGTACATATTTCTAAAGTAAAAGTAAGAGTATTACCAGGGTAAGTGCTTTAACACTAAAAAATTTATTTTTTTTAAGTCAGATTTACATTTTGGACTTAAATTTTGTAAGTATCTCAGGTATTAGAATAAAAATAATAAGTAAAAATTTTTTGCATGCATATAAATTTTGGCGCCATTTTTAAAAAGCGACCCTCGGTCGCTTTGTGCTGTATGTGTTTCTGCTGCTGCTACTGGGAGAGCGACCGCGACCAAGGCGAGCGCTGTATGGCCTTTCTTGCTAGTATGTGTACGAAGGAAATTTTTAGGTACTGCGAATTTTGGGGGCAGCCTCCCAAGAATCGTCCGGAAAACGCATTTAATCTGAGGTAAATTCTAGTTGGTCTATTATCGCGGCAAACGCACATCCTCCTTAGCGTTTTATTTGTTTTTACATGCCATTTATCGCCCTCCGTTTTGCTCGCCGTCGCCGTCAGAGAGAGCGAGCGAGCGCTCACCAACACAAGGCCAGCGGCAGCGCTGCAGCCGCTCTGCCGGCGCCAACGTCGCCGCCTGTCCGGCTTATTTCTACCTACTCGCTTTCGTTCTGCCGCAAGACGCTGGTTCCGTACAGTTTAATTCAACACTCGAAACGAACAAGGTTGGTTTTCTACATCGTGCAAAATATAACCCAGAATAAAATAAGTTGGAAGAAAAGGACTTGGTGCAAATTGAGTGAAGAGTGAATACAGTTTTTTCTAGCAGAGATTTCAGTCAGAAAATCAAAGTTTTTCGGTGGTTTCGCCGTGAGAAGGCGCTGGTGTGCTGTGCTGTACCCACGACGAATCGAGAGGAGAAAGCAAACGGCAAGGCAAGCGTTGCCATTTTGGCTTCGACTTCTTTTCTTTGCTCGTTGCTTCTTTGGTGAGCTGTCGCCTCAAAATGGCCGCCACCGCAATTTATTTCCACGGCGATTTTTCAATTTTTAATTGGACGCCAGCGAAACGCGCGCCTTTTTCACTATTTCATAGAAGATATTTCTTTGCTGCATTTGTTTTTACTCGGCATTTAGCGCGTTCTCTTTTAATTCGCCGGTTCGAGAGAGGAGAGAGCGAGAGAGAGCTGATTCAGAGAGAGTACAGCCTCTCCGGTGGCCTTTTTTCAATAAGTTAATTTGTTTGTTTATGTTGTTGGTTAAAACAAATCAAAAAATCTGTTAAAATTGGTAAATTCAGTTAGTTACCAGTGAGAAGAAAAAAAAACGAAAACCACGCAACTTCCCTCGCGACATCTGCCGCCGCCAAGCATTCATTTTTTTCGCATCTGCCTGCGTCGACCGCGCAGCAGCAGAGATGTACGTGTGAGGGCGCTTTGCGCTGCCTTGGTTTTCGGCAGTGGACGCCACCTCGTTCAGTTTTCTTCCAGAAACTCAGCGACAAAGGTTGGTGAATGCAGAAATTAAGAAGTCACAAAAAAAAAAAAAAAAATTAAGAAAAGTTACAATTTTTTAACAACTACAAAGTGCCTACTTCGCCAAGTAACTTAATAAACTAATAGTGCTGCTAAGAGAGAGATAAAGAGAGTCAAAGAGCGTCGGTACCACGCACACCAACATCAGACCAAGCACGTTGAGTGTTTAAGCCTAAATATCAACTAAACCACGTTAAAATACGGCGTTTTAAGACCAAAATTGGACTTTTCCGAAAAACCTGTACCTCAAATTGCCTTTTCCAGGGCATTTTTCAGTTTTCTTCCACTTTTGAGAGCGTCCCGCAGTCTGTACCAAGCCAACATAGGCAGTCATCGCATACAGAAAAAGTATGTGTTGCCATTTCGCCGCCTTTCGCACTCGCTGCTGTGGCAGCCGTCTGCTGCTCCCCCACAGGCCCTTATCAACTCGCCTAGCGGCTGCATTTTCCCCATTTATTCATATTCTGGCCTAGGAGTTCAATTAATTTCATATTAATTATTAAGTGGCGCGCGTTTAGGCCCCAGAGAGCGAGCGCGCGCGCGCGCATTTTTTCAGTGTGGTGAGCACGGACCGCAGTGTATAGCTGTCTCGCTTCGAGTCGCCATTGCTTGCGTCGACGGTGCCTTGCTGTCTCCTTCGCCCTCCCCTGCTGTTGTTGCTGCTTTTGGTACAAGCGAAAGAGAGAACGCGGTGAAAAAGAAACTATAATGTGCTATGTAAATCCCATAGCATTTCGAATTAAGAGTGCTTGGGGAATTTGTGTTTTTAGTTTCAGCTTAGGAGTACAGTTTTTAAGTATTAAAATATGTAGGTTTTTTTTACGGTGTAACTTTGAAAATACAATTCAGTGTTGAATAACTAAAGTATTCAAGTGTTGTATAATTGGCAAAGGAAAATTAAGAGAATTTCTCTTAAAAAGTACAGATTTATTCATACATTTTTACCTTTATTTACCATTACAGCTCGAAGCCAATAAGACCTAGTTGTACAACTTTGTTAATTAGTATCAACAAATAAAAACAAAACACAATCTAAATATGGCCGACAAACCAAAACGTCCTCTCTCCGCCTACATGCTGTGGCTCAACAGTGCACGCGAGTCGATCAAGCGCGAGAATCCCGGCATCAAGGTGACCGAGGTGGCCAAGCGAGGTGGTGAATTATGGAGGGCAATGAAGGATAAGTCGGTGAGTACCTCAGACCCCATATAAAGCATAAGCAGGCCCACTAACTAATCTCTTTTGTTCCAATCAACAGGAGTGGGAGGCCAAGGCTGCCAAGGCCAAGGACGACTACGATCGGGCCGTCAAAGAGTTTGAGGCCAATGGTGGCAGCAGTGCTGCCAATGGCGGTGCCAAGAAACGTGCGAAACCAGCGAAAAAACCATCAAAGAAGAGCAAGAAGGATGACTCCGATGAGGATGAGGATGATGAGAGCGAGTAAACGCTCGGCTCTTGATCACATCCCTCCAATATTCATCACCAAGTCATACACAACAAAACACAACAAACAAAGCAGCAAAACACCACACACAATCCCCATCAAAAGCCACATCCCCGAAATCCCTCTGTAACTCATCTCTACATAGATTAGATCGGACGCAACACGTCGTCGTTGTCTCCTCTCTCCTCAAGAGCAATCACACAGAGCTTGTGGTTGTAAGAACAAAGCAAAAACAGTACGAGAAAAACCCAGATCACGAAATAAGCTAAATTGTATTTATACATTTATGAATTTAAGTTTATAGTGTAGTCGTTTCTTTTATCGTAAACAATATGCATACAAAGAGAAAAAGAGGACACAACCAAGAAGGAAGAAAGCAAGGAGAGGAAGGTGGAAAGCCCACATTTTGTGATGTTTTCCCCTCCTTTTGTTTCGTTTCTGGCGGTGGCCCTCACCGGCGCCGCGTTGAAGGAAAATTTATCTTGGATATAAAAATTGTAAAGTAAACGATAACATAATTCCATTAAAAATAAAAATTATACAAAAAAAAGTACTATTGGCTGCACATATTGTTCATACTCGAGAGGATCCCTGGGGGTGCTGCGGTATTGCAAACACAAAACCTACACTGATCACACAAACCCGCAAATGAAACAAACGAAATTTCGCTCAGGTCTTTTCGTCATTTTGCATGAAAAAAAAACAAGCGTCTTGTTAGCTAAAGAGATGTAATTGCATTTAATCGGTAGTTTTAATTGATAACTATACGTATAATTTAATGAGGAAGCCCACAACAACCAACAAACAAATAAAATAAATACATTTTTTAAAATGCGTTGAAAAAATAATGATTTTTTCTTGAATCTTTAAGGGAGACTGTCTAAAGGATAATGTTAGAGACTTGGAGAGGACCGAGAACTTATTTCTGTTTTCAAATCAAGTGAATTTTGTAATAACAAAAAGAATTTTAAAAAGGAACATTTTAATAATAATAAATACTACTGTAGAAACTTCTTGTTTTATATAATTCTGGACAAAAGCCATAACTAAGTTTAAAAAAAACATTGATTGATTTTTAATAGGAAAGCTATTTTTTTAGTTTTTATTAGGTTAATAAATTTGCATACTTGAATTTTAAATTAAAACTGGGAAGAAAGCTAACTCTGTAAGCCAAAATTTGTATACCCTTTACATAGGTCATGGGGTGCGAATTTAAAAACGATCATAACTAAGGCAAAAATGCATTAATTTCAATTCGGAAAGCTATTCTGAGTTAGTTTTTATAAGGGTAATAAATCCGCTGACTGAATTTAAAATTTAAAAAATTTAATTTTTTTTTTTTAATTTTTGAACATTTTAATGATGTAACCCCTTATAAAATTTTCAAAAAAATTAAAAAAAATTATTTTCTTTCAAACATGACTTAAAAGATGCGCCTGCTTATGCTGATCAAGAATATATATGATTTATAGGGTCGGAAATGACTTTATCACTGCGTTATGAACTTTTGACTGAATTATAATACCTCGAAAGGGTATAAAAAAAATTTAATTTTTTGATATTATTGATGTAAAAATGGTTAACATTTATAAATATAATAAAAGTAACACTTTTTTTTTTGGTATATTAAACGTTTTATTTTAAATATCATCATGAATTCAATAGCTAAACTCTAAAATGACCTCTTTTGCCTCCTGGTAGTTTAGGTTTATGCAAAAATCAATGCAATGATTCTTGTGGGATTTGTAGTTCTCTATATTATAATGTATATTCAACTATTTATCGTATGGGTTATCGCATACAAAATACCATTGGAGTTACTTCTTGTCTTCACTTTGGGATTAACAGATCTAAAAACATAAACACAACCCTATTTAGACAATATCTAATCGGTGCAATGATGATCGAATTCGGGGGCTGTTGTTCAGGTGAAACACGTAGAGATTAAAGCTTAAATTTAGAATGGTGCCAGGGTGTCTTACAATTTAAGTAGGGTTTGCCTTTGCTTTGGGATTTCTTTTGGGTTTTCCACGGTCTACAAAACAGAAAGGTGTTGCGCTTATTTATTATCGAGCTTAGACTACGAAAGTTGTATGGCAAAACGTACAAACGAAAGTCTCTCTCAGAGCCTTTCCACAAAAATCAAAGGGAAACAAGGAAGGAGTCATAAACGAAAGAAGCTGTCTCCATTTATAGGCTATTGGTTGTGTGTGTATTGTGGCCTAGCACCGTCTTCGTCGGTTCATCCATCCATTTAATTGCGATTCAGCCAGAATATTGTCTTTAGAACAAAGTAGGCCAGGCCCAGGCAATACACAATCTTCTCCCGCTGTGTACGCTGCTCGTTGTTGATCTCAATGTTCAACACTCGGCGGTTCAGCTTGGCCAGCTGGCGTCTCAGATACAGGATCTCCTCGTGGGGCGTCAGCTCGCCCATGGGTGTGCCCTCGCGATGTGACAGCATCGAGGCATCCAGATTGTTGTGCTGCTGGTTATGCTGCGAGCGCTTGCTGGCACTGCCGGTGGTCAACTGGGGATAAGATTAAGAAAACGATTATTAGATAATCTGATAAAGGATAGGTTTATCTACCATTTTAGGGGGTGTTTTTGATACTTAAATATATGAGAATACCAAGAAAGTTATTTTTATAGCTGGGAAATTGTTTTGTGACATGTTGACATATTTTAAATGGTTGTTTTAGGTTTGTAAATAAATAATAATGGCATAAAATACGATATTTAATGGTAAAATCGATACATAAAATTGATTTAAAAAGTTTTAATATATAAAATATAATTTTCTACAAAAAAATATACTAAATACAGCCTTAAAACTCCCAAAAAGAAGGTAATTCTTCCCCTTTTCCCCTTGTGTCACATTGGTTTTCCCCTAACAAAATCTAAATTTCAAATTAAAATCCAAAAATCCAAAATTTTCGTCTAAAAAAACATCAAAAAAATAAGCAGTCTGCAAAATGACAGCCCCCAGCAACCGTGCACCCTTGGGCTTTGCTGATATCGATGTCGAAGGCGACGATCTGTCCAAGCTGGAGCCCATCATCAGTGCCCTGAAGTGCGAGCAAACGGGTCACATCATGGAGGCCATCCTCCTCTATGAGGAGAGCACCTTCAAGCTAAAGGAAATGGCCGAGGCGGAACCCAACCGAAGGCAATTGTGCAGCAAATACCTCAAGATATACGAGGCACGGGCCAAGCAGCTGAGGGACCAGGTAAAGAGTCACCTGCACGCGAGTCGAATGCTGGATCACATCAGCATCGAGCGGGGTGCCAGGGGCAGAAGCTACCAGCGGCTGCTGGGTCCGTATCTCGACGACAGCGTCCGGGAGGCGCATCTCAATGAGCCGAATCTCACGGAGGCGCAACACTTTCGCAATCTGATCAACTTCCTGGAGGTTCTGGTGAAGAATTGTCGTTATCTCAAGTACATACGGGTGACCACACGGCCCGATGTGTTGATGCCACAGAAACAACTCCAGATCCTGCAGCAAATGAAGACTGATCTGGCCGGGGGCAACATCCAGATGAACTACCAGATGGACGAATCCCTACACGACCGCAAGATCGTGCTCAGTTCGGGCGTGTTAATCAAAATCGGCAAGGGCCTGCACTACTTCGAGCCTGTACAGGAGGGCTCGGTGTATAGCTTGGGCCTCTGCGATTTTGATTTCCGCAAATGTCAGGCCACTGAGGTGGACATCTGGAAGTGTCGGGCTTTTGCCAAGAGGCCCAAGGATTCGCAGGAGGTGGAGGAACGACCTGAGAGGCACGGCTACATGAGCGATTAGTGAGTGAGAGTGAGATTTCCTCATAAACCTCTTCGAATTGGGTCAGTCACTGGCCTTATCGCTGGTAAAAGCAGTACTACACATCAATAAACGCAGCAGTTTGTTAATCTCTCGAGCGATTCAATGGGCGGCAAGCGAAACCTGATCGTTATTACCATTCCCAGCGATTACATTTCGTCATATCATGGCTAGTACAGGCAGGGTTAGTGCAATAGCAGCAAGAAAATTGGGAAAATCTCAAAGAAATATTGGAAAATTTTATAATTTTAATAGAAAATAGTTAGGAATATATGCAGGAACTATGTAGGAGTTTCTAATTTAATTCTATAAGCTATGTTTTAAGTCTTTGATATCCAAAAGTTAGCTGTTATCTTTGGGGGAATGTATAAAGAAATGCTTAACATTTATGCAAATCGAATTCCACTTCAATGATAAACAAAGGGGCAATGACTAATGGATACTGTACTGTACTGTAATTGTTAAATTTAGTCTAAAGACTGATTTAAACAATAAATAAATACAAAAAGAGGTAAACTAAAGGTCTAAAACCAATTTTTAGAATCAATTCAATCAAAAAAGAGGTTAGTTAAGGAGAAAATAATATCAAGAAGAGCCCTATACTAGAAATACAAAGCCTTTCTGGAGTTTATAAAGCGATTTAAGCTTTAAAAAATGTTAAATTGATTTCTTTATCAGCCTTTAACCACAACTCTTCATCATCCCAAACCCTAGACAACCCACTCATTAAACTTTCCCCAAATAAACCAAGTCAAAAAGCTCACCTGCGAGTCCGACTCCACCGAGTGCGTATCGTTGGCATGGAAGCCCATGCGTGCTGCTCCATTGGCCCGTACATACTGTGTGGCAGGGTGTCCTGCCTCATCGTCATCTTCCTCATCGCCCAGATCCTCACCGTACATATGGTGTCCATTTGGCCTAATGGGCGAGTTCTCCTCGGAGGCCGAGGGAAAGTGATGATCCGTCAGGGTAATAATACGCGGCGGCGTCTGAACGCGCACCAGTCCAATCGAGGGGTTCTTGGGCAGTATGGAGTTCTCCAGCTGGATCTCACGCGGTGCCGAGCGCGTCTCCAAGTGCTGATTGTGTCCAAGGACCACGATTCTATCCGGGACATTCATGTCGATCTTGTCGTGGTAATTCCAGGAGCTTATAAGCCCATTTTGGTTCGACAGCAGCAGATCCTCGTCCGAGTACTCGCCGGTGGCCTTGATGCGCTTGGGTACGCGCATCTTGTCGTTGATTTCGTGGGCAAACTTGGCCTCCGTGTAGAGATCATCGTCTAGGCCATTGAACATGGGCGTGGGCGACTGCGGCGTTACCATGATGAAGTGTCTCCCTTTTCTCTGTTCCTGGTTTCCTTTTGCCCTATTTCTTTGTAATCGTCGTTATGCGCCTTCCCCTTGGCTTTATTTCGGTTATTTCAGTTTTATTTTTGGCGAAGAGAGGAGGCGGCGGTGAGAGAGACGTTTTCATAACAAATTAATTACCAGAATTTAGTTTGCGATGCATTTTCGTGTGATGTGTGTGTGGGGATTGAATTTTACCTACTGTGCTCTCTCGATTGACAGGAAAATGTCCGGGAAATGGGGGAAAATCCGTATAAATTAACAAATTTTCGCCTGCCTTTTGTTATGTGTGAGGGAGCAGTGTGACCGAAGGCCAGCAGTCGCGAAATACCCAAAGAGAACTGGGTTCTTTCCCGCGGCAAATATTAATATATTTTGTGAATGGTGGAATTGGAAACTTCACGTAGGTTTTGCCATTGTCCCTGTGTTCTAATTCTCGCAAACAACAACTTATAAATCGTGTAGAAAAAGGTTTTCCTCGGATAAACGCAGAAATTCCACTTCAGCTTAGCAGTGTTTCACACCTTTCAAATTGTTCTACCCATATCGATAACTTGATGTTTTCACATCACTAGCTCCGATATATATCGCAACCAGCTCTAGCCGACAGACGCGCGTCTTTTTTTATCAGTGATTTTTTTCCGGATTAACCGCGTTTAAGCGCCCACAGCGAGCGAAAGATTATTAAAAACCCTCATCAGAAGTGAGTTAAATTGTTTGCAAGCTTTAAAAGCTAACCGGCGAGTGTTAAAAATGCAAACTGCAAGCGCAGTGCAAGAGCCTCAATGTATTGTGGGGGAGGGGGGTGCTCTGCCAGCGTCGCTGCCTGCAGAATGTACAGTTGCGGCAGCGACGTCGCTTTTCCTTTTCGGCGCGCAAACACAAAAATAAAACACAGAAATACTTAAATAACTTTTACACTTTGTGTGTGCGTTTGCGGCTATAAATAACATATAGAACTCGCCGGTACAGCATTTAAAAACTAATATAAATACATGTCATAACTTGGGTAGAAAACAGGTTTTTTTTGTTGGCCAAGAGAGAGGTCCTTTGGGCGGGAAAATATTAAAATCTAAGAAAATTTTTAATTTAAATTAAAATTCCCTTCCAGCTCGCTTTTCCTATATATATCGTCATGGATCGACGCCTGAGACGCCCGCGTCGCACGGATGAAGTGGCAGGAGCCGCAGGAGCTCCCCTCTTGCAGTCCACACAGCCCAGCCAGCTGCCGGTGACCCGGCGGACTCTCACAGCAACCGCTACTGCTGCCACTGGACCCGCTACCCGGACACGTGCCTCGCCGTCGCGCAACAAGGCACCGCCTTCACCCGATCTGGGTCCACGCACTCGACGCTCCAGCCGTCCCAGATCATCGGTGGGCCCTATTACAGGTGCCCCTGTGCCCGCCAAGGCCTCTATTAAGGTCCGCACACCCATACGCGAGGTGCCAGAGGTGAGTTTTAACCGGAATATTTTTTGGGGAGTCGGGGGGCACTTCTCTTATCAGTTCCAAGGGCTTGGGGTCTCAAGGGAGCAGCTTATCTGGTCATTACAGTGTTTACAAGCGGGCAGAACTTGCGCTGTTGATTAAAGTTTAAAGATTATGAAGCGGTTCCATATAGAAAATCATAAGAAAAGGGAATTATTTAAAGAATTCTCTTAAAGAAATCCTTGAAATCCCATTTATACAATACCCTTACCTTCTCAGAAATCCTAACTAATCCCACACTCTCTTTTCTTCTCTCCAGGTGCCTTCACCCGTGCGTCAGTCCACCAACAGCAGTCTGCCATTGACCCTGACCACCAACACATCCAGCCGGGCGCCCAACAAGTCCTTCAACACAAGCTCCCTGAACAGTGGGAATTACATAAGCAGCAGCTCCACCACAACTACCACCACTACCTCGGAGCGCATCGAGATCCGAGCCGAGGGCGATAGTGAGGTGGACACGGACTCCTTGCGCAAGCGCATCACCGAGCGACTGCGGCGATCGGTGTCGAAAACCATCTCAAACTTGGCCGGAACGCCAGTGACTAACACGGAGGATGGCGGCAGTCGCTACAGCCGCAGTGTGTCGAGATCAGTGTACGATGATGAGAAATCCTCCAAAAGGAGCTACTCCACAGGCGAAGAGGATATCGAGGAGGAGGAGCTGGAGGAAGAGGAGGAGTTCCGCAGCTTCAATGCCACTAGAAAGTCGGCCACGCCAGCAGAAATTTCCTGCCGCCAGTTGAAGGCACCGCAAGAATTTGGCGGCTGGCTGGGTGCCTTCCTATTGCTGCTCCTGGTGCCCACCGCTGTGTACTATCTCACCTGGAGCTGTACGGCCCGGAATGCCTGTCAGCTGAAGCATCTCAATCCCAGAATTCTGCTGGATGTGAATTATCTGACGCGTCAGGTGTTCCAGCCGCATGTGGTGGCAGCCTTTGCCACGTACCATGTGGTGGCCTTTGTGCTGGTGGCCCTGCTGCCCGGACGCCGAGTGCATCTCACCCGGGAGACCTACAAGTTCAACTCGCTGGCAGTGGCATCCACTTTCCTGATTGCCGGCGGCATTGCCGAGTATCTCAAGTATCCGGTTGTGGCTTTTGTGCTGCGTCACTATCTACGCTTCTGCATTTACGGACTGATCGGGGCCTTTGTGGCCGCCGCCTGGAGCTATTGGCTCGTGGACAACGCCAAGTACAATGTCCTCCGTCAGACGCTGACCAATGACTATGGCAAGAGCGGTAGCTTTGTGGTGGACTTTGCGCTGGGCCGGCAGCTGAATCCCAAGTGGCTGGGGCGTGTGGACTGGAAGCAGTTCTACTATCGCCTGTCCCTGGTGAGTACGCTGCTGTATGCCGCCTGCTATGTCTACCAGACGCTGGTGTGGCCCCAGAAGCCGCAACTGGCCGAGCAGGAGGGCAACGTCTATCTGCATGTGGCCAGGTATTACTGGAACAATGTCAACTATGATGCGGGCACCCTGCTCTCGGCCAGCTGCCTGATCCTGTACGTCCTGGACGCCATCGTCTTTGAGCATCACTTGAGCTCGTCCTTTGAGCTGCAACACGAGGGCTATGGCTGCCTGCTGCTGCTGCGCTATGCCGCCACCCCCTACTTGCTGTCGTCTGTGACCAAGTACTTCTACGAGCAGCGCGTGCCCATCGCCTGCTGGTATGCTCCGATCGGTGTGGGGGCCCTCCTGTGCCTGGGATTGCTGGTGAAGCGCTACAGCTGCGCCTACAAGTACAAATACCGACTGAACGCGCAGAGTCCGATCTTTGCCAACATCGAGACGATTCACACGTACCAGGGCAGCCGCCTGCTGTTGAGCGGCATGTGGGGATGGGTGCGACAGCCCAATTATCTGGGCGATATTCTGGCCCTGCTTGCCCTCGCCGCTCCCATGGCCCTGCGCCCGGCCTGGCCTCCTGTACTGGGACTCGCCCTGATTGTCCTCCTGCTGCTGCATCGCACCACGCGTGCGAATGCCAGGAATCTGGCGCGTTATCACTCGTCCTGGCAGCGCTACAGCACACAGGTGCGCAGCTACATCCTGCCCAAGGTCTATTGAAAAGGATTACCTAGGTATTGTGGCCATTTACATTTGGATTTTTAGTTTGTTTATATCTTTTATGTTTCGAATTTGTATATAGAAATACGTTTTCATTTTCAGACCATCAACAATCATTGATCCCCATTAAATTAGTACAAAATTTGATTTTACCTTTGCCGACGATCATTTTTTTATAAGAAAAACTAACTCTTCACTCTTGTATAAGCTTAGTTAAGCTTAGTAAAAGTTTAAATACCCCCAAACACACCATCTAGCTGTACGAACCTAAGCGCTTAAGATCTAGACACCTTACAAATATGAATTACTTTATTAATCTTTATGCCTACGCATATGGGAATTACTTTGTACACACAACAATTATATATACACTAAATAAATCTATAGTTTCTATGCTTAAAAGAAACGCAAAGTCAAAAGAATTATTATTTGGGTTTATAATTATTTATTTATATTATATAAATCCATATTTATGTAATTTAATTGAATTTTTCACGTATAATTCAAAAATGTCTGTGCTAAATGAACATTTTCCGCTTGTGTTAAGAAAAGTTATTTATAACAAATTGAAACATTAGTTGTTCCATCAGTTTTTGAATATCTGCTCATAGTTCAGGATGGGTATTCCATGGCTTTTGCTGTTTTGCGCTCTTTTGCCCTCTTTTGCACATGGTAAGAGCTGTACCCGTCCATGTAAGTGACTTGAAACGTTTAATATTTCCATTTACAATTATTATTTATTTTGATATATTCCAGGGGCATGCAAATAATCCGGCTCGAAGACTAGGATAATGTATATTCCATCTCATATAACAAGTCTTATTTGACACCTATGTGACTTTATATGATGTAAATATCCTGCTCTTTAAATGAGTTTCAATTACTAAATATACAAATACAAGCCGCAAAACTATTTTGTATTTAAATTTTATATAGTTGAAGCTTTGATGTCGAAATAAATGCAATCTAATTGATATGTTTGCTCTATAATCGTTCTCTAAAAAACTCTCTCTCGTACAATAAAAAATTATACTATCGTTTGCTACCGAGTGGAACCTTCCTTTCCGACCCTATAAAGAATATATATTCTTGATCAGCAAACAACAGCCGAGTCGATCTGTCCGTCTGCCTGTCTGATCCAATTGCAATCTGCAAGGGTATACAAACTTCGGCGTGCCGAAGTTAGCTTCCTTTTTTGTTTTTTTTTAAATCTATAATTATGTCATTAGGCCAAACCAATTTTATTTTTCACGTATAATTTTTTTAATTTTCCGCTTGTGTTAAGAAAAGTAATATAAAACAAATTTAATTTAAAGTTGTTCCATCAGTTTTTGAATATCTCCTCATAGATCAGGATGGGTATTCTATGGTTTTTGCTGTTTTGCGCTCTTTTGCACATTGTGAGAGCTGTACCCGTCCATGTAAGTGACTTGAAACGTTTAATATTTCCATTTACAATTATTATTCATTTTGATATATTCCAGGGACATGAATTTCCTTGGTTTAAAATGGATTACATAGGTACTCAGCCTCATAGACTAGGATAATTTATATTCCATTTCATATAACACGTCATATTTGACACCTATGTATGTGACTTTATATGATGTAAATATCCTCCTCTTTAAATGAGTTTCAATTACTAAATATACAAATACAACCCGCAAAACTATTTTGTATTTAATTTTTATATAATTATAGCTTTGATGTCGAAATAAATGCAATTAAATTGAAATGTTTGCTCTATAATCGTTCTCCAAAAACTCTCTCTCGTACAATACAAAATTCTACTATAGTTTGCTACTGAGTGCAACCTAACTTTCCGACCCTATAAAGTATATATATTCAGCATCGACAGCCGTCTGTCTGATCCAAGTGCAATCTGCAAGGGTATTCAAACTTCGGCGTGCCAAATGTAGCTTCCTTTCTTGTTTTTTTTTTAATCTATAATTATATCATTAGGCCAAACCAATTTTATTTTTCACGTATAATTTAAATATTTCTATGCTAAATGGACATTTTCCGCTTGTGTAAAGAAAAGTAATATATAACAACTTTAAACATTAGTTGTTTCATCAGTTTTTAAATATCTGCTCCAAGATCAGGATGGGTATTCCATGGCTTTTATTATTTTCCGCTCTTTTGCACTTTGTGAGAGCTCTACCCATCAAATGTTTTAAGAAAGTTTGTGATGAGCTTCCATATGATATTGTAAGTGATCCAGTTAATATTTCCATTTAATATTATTTATCATTTTGATATATTCCAGTGGTCAAACGATTCTGAATTTCCTTATTTTAAAACGGATATCTCTGATATTCCGCCTCAAAGACTAGGATAAATGATATTCCATTTCATATAACAAGTCATATTTCATACCTATGTAACTTTATATGATTTAAAATCCTTTTCTTTAACTGAGTTTAAATTACTAGACAAAGAAATACAACCTAAAAAACCATTTTGTATTTAATTTTTATGTAGTTAAAGCTTTGATGTCGAAATAAATGCAATCTAATTGAAATGTTTGCTCGATAATTGTTCTCTAAAAAACTCTTTCTCTTTATCGTTCGCTACCGAGTGGAACCTGTAGGTATACGAGCTGCTTTTGCTGGTACATTGCAGCCAAGAAAAGGTGCATTTTAGGCTACGTAAAGCACAGCTCAGCTTTCTCGCCATAAAAACCAGTTTAGTAAATTTCATAAATATTCATTAAATAATAAGTTGCTTGAATCTAGAATCTAGATAATCTGTAGAATCGATTTTCGCTTAGAACTTGCCAGACTTTAAGGTCAGAGCACACCCCCAAAAGTTGATTTCAAGTAGAATTTTGAATACCAGAAATATGATGGGGCATATTTCAGGGCCTTTGCAACACGAAAACTGCGCCCGATGATGATGATGATGATGGATGTCAGGCCAGCGAATAAAAGAAGTAATTCTGTGTAAAAATACCCGTTCCAACGTTTCCTCGGTTCTTATTTTTTTCAGTTCGCCGGACGTACCGCATAAAGTTCGGGGGGTTTCTGGGTGCTTGTGGGCGTGGTCCGAAGCCGTTACAACTGTTAATGACATTTACGAATGTTTGCTAGCAACCAAAACTTGGTAGCTCCATCCGCTACCCATTCTCCAGCACCCCCTCTCCCCCTCCCATCTCTCGCCTTCACATAATGCCGAAATAATGACGAAGTCTGGGCTTGCACCTCCAAAATGGCACTAGACTTTGGGAGTTACACTGAGAAATTTTGAGATTAGGTTCTTAAATAAGTTTTTTAGGCTCTTAAAAAGGATCTCTAAACTAAGCTTACTTTAGTTTACAATCTCAGAACTTTCCTTTCAAATAGGATACATTTTTCTTTCAGTGCTCGAATACCGTAGAAAAATGACGCGGAAACTGTCAAAAAAAAAAGCAAATGGTCGGTGAAAAAAATCATGAAAAGCGGCTAGGAAAACCTCAGCAGCGGCGGTGGCGACATTTGCGGTTTGCTATACAAATGACCGACCGCCGACTGCCCCGCCCATTTAACGAAAATTATACAATAATGGCGTCAACATTAGCAAATTGTGCGCTTGTCGCAGTTCCCATTTTGGACATTTTCCATGGCCCTGGCTCCTGCTGCCCCCCTCAGCTGGATTTCGTCCTTTCGTTCTCCTTTAATGAGCGTTTAAATTGGCGGATCCTGGTTTTGCTTTTGCTTTGCCTTTTTGTTGATTGATTGCCCGGCAATTTTGTTTTGGTTTTTATTTGTGGGAAATGCATAAATGATTTGTACAAGCATGCAAATTAAATAATGGTAAAGAATCTATTAGTTACGGGTTTATTTTGGTATTCATTTGTTGGAATAATAATGTTTAATTAAATATTAAAGGTTACTTTAACGTTTTCTTGTCTTTACTTAAGCCAAAAATTTTAATATCCCTTCCCTCAACTTAAAAATACATTTCCTCTTTATCTTCAAAACCCACAAACTAAACTGAAGTTAATAGCCACTAAAACAGGTTTTCAGCCAGAGATAAACTGGGCTCTAATAACTCGTACTAGCTTCTAGCATAAATCACGCCTTTTGTCAGCATCAGATAAGGTTTGGCATAAATTTAGCTTTAATTGACTTAATGCCTTGTTTCTTTATCAAATAATTAATTACAGAGCACAGCCAACACCTCGACCAGGGTCCACAGAGAAGGAAGTACTTCCTATATAATTTTTGTATTTTGTTTTCTGACTTTTTTTTTAATAGTAGTTACAACTTAGTTGGCAGTGGGCGGTTTTTCCTAGAGCCTGCAGTTTATTTTGTCAACCAGTTTTCGCTCGTGCTGTTTGCTTTGGCGTGGGCGCCTCTTGTGGTCCCCCTCACGGCTTTTCAGTTTTTCCTTTCAATTATCAAGTTTTCTATATACATTTTCTTGGCTGCAGACGGCAGGCGGTGCATTTTGTTGCTTTGTAATTGGTTCATGTCAACAAGTAAGATCGATATCGCCGCTGCCAGTGTTCTGACATTCTTTCGCTTTTGTCGCTTTTGCCAGGCAATAAAATTGTTATTGATTGTAATTAGGTTTGTAATGGGGTTATTTATGTGTGCCACTGCACGTTCCTTGTTTATGTACTGCACTGTACAAGCTGCAGTAAGTGCTGACTTCGGGCAGAAGTCGTGATTGATTGATGGTGGGGACGAAGCGGACAGTTGGTCAGTTGAAAATTGATTGAAAATTGAGGGGAACAATTTAAATTAATTTGCAGGAGGTCTTTTAGTGATGATAGAACTTTTAGTAAGTGTAAGTGTAAAGAGGAAATTTAAACTGCATATAAAATCCTTAGAACCTAAACTAAGGATCAACTACTTAACAGCTTGGCTAAAACTTAAAGAGTTTTGGGAAGGGTAAAAGTGAGAGTCAAAGGGAAAAATATGTTTAAAATATATTACTTATTTTTAACAAAATACTAACCTTTACCCTCTCAACTGTACTTTCCGGAACTTTTCAAATTACAAAAAAAAAAAAAAAGCGACATAATTAATTCAAAGACTTAACCAACCCAAGTATCTCTGACCAAGAGTTTTCCTCCCCAAAAAAACAAAAAAACAATTTATGCAGGGACCTTGAGAAAAGCTCTTGACAACTTTCTGCGGCAAAACAATGGGACAGGCAGGGACTGTGCTGAAAATAAGACAGGACACGTTGACGAGCGATCCTTTTGTTCGCCAGTGTCACATCCATCTTCATCAGTCCAAAGTTTGCATTTAAATTGGTAATTAACACAAAACGAAAATGAAAGCGAAAGCCGAAAGCGAGAAGAAAAATGCGAGGCGAAATAAGCACGAACACAAAAGGCACTAAACAAGATGACATTGAGCTGGAGAGGAGCCTGGAGCCTGGAGCATGGAGGAGGCTGAATGGTGAGTGAAGGCGGAAACAATCAACTAAACCGAAGGATAAGAAATGCGCAGGACACCCAGGAAAAGAGAGGTCATGGAAGGGATATCACTTCAAAGTGCTAAATGGATTGTCAAAGCGAAAAATGTTTAGGAAACTGCTAAAAATTTTAAGATTTGATAAGTTTAAGCTTAAGAACTATACCTTAAAGCTATAACCAGTTGGGAATTATAGTGTTGAAGATAGGAAATTCTTGAAAACTATAAAATAAATATGTTTTAACAGTTTCTTTTGTGATTATTTTAGACAATTTCCCAATAAATAATAATTTTTAAATTATCAAAAACTACCTATAACAAGAAAGGAAGCTAACTTCGGCACGCCGAAGTTTGTATACCCTTGCAGATATTATTTCATTACATTTTACCTATACTTATTATGTTTACAGTTTGACAGTTACAGTTTTGCATTCCCAGCTTTAGATTTTGTATACATCTACCGATCGGTTTATATGGCAGCTATATGATATAGTTGTCCGATTTTTTTGAAATTTATACCAAAATTCTAGAATAATAAAATAAGCTTATATCCCAGAGTAGATGAAAATACGTTGAAAAACAACGAACCTATAATTTTTTTCTATTAATTTCCCGATCGTTCCTATGGCAGCTATATGATATAGTCGTCCGATTTTCATAAAATTTTTACTAAAATTTAGAAATAATATAAAATGGTCATATTTAAAAAATGGTGCAAAAACGTTGAAAAACACCAAAGTTATAATTTTTTTTCTAAAAATATATCGAACATTTGTATGGCAGCTATATGATATAGTCGTCCGATCCGGCCCGTTCCGACATATATAGCAGTGAGAGCATATAGAAGACTATATGCAAAGTTTCATTGAGATAGCTTTAAAACTGAGGGACTAGTTTGCGTAGAAACGGACAGACGGACAGACGGACAGACGGACAGACGGACAGACGGACAGACGGACAGACGGACATGGCTAGATCGACTCGGCTATTGATGCTGATCAAGAATATATATACTTTATAGGGTCGGAAACGTCTCCTTCATTGCGTTGCAAACTTCTGACTGAAATTATAATACCCTGCAAGGGTATAAAAATTATCAGTGTAAAATCCCTCAAAATCTCCACCAACGCAATAATTTCGTTGCCCTTTCAAACTACACTCCTTCGACGTTATCATTTCATTAAATCACCAAAAACGAGAGGATATAAAAAAAAAAACGAAAGGAAAAAAGACAATAAAATGGAAGTGGAGATAGTGGCAGCACGCCAACGCTCACGTCCTTCTATTAAGCGTCGTTTGCCAATTGAATGTAAATAAGAGGGCCCCTGACAGCCAAAAAGCGGATAGAAAATGAATGAAAATTCCTTGGGAAAGCTTCCACGGGAGCCAGAAGCTGAATCGTGTTGAGCAGGTCATCAAGGACAATTGCCCTGCTTGACGACTTAGTTGACAAGAAATTGGAGAATGAAGCCATCGACAGGTGACAGGCAATTTATTAGCCAGAAGTTGAGAAGGAAATGGAATAAGATTATTTTAGGGGAAATTGTTAACTAAATAAAAGATAAAAAAATAAGCATTTTAAAAGTTCTACAACATTTTTACATTATTTTTTAAAGCTTAAATAAATGGGAAAACTTAAAAAAGGAAAGACTACCTATGTATATAGTTTGTTGTCCTAATTGAATCTCTTTATTTTAAGTAAGTTCTAGCTTAAGAATAATATTATAAATAAATAAATATAACATATATTTCCCCTAAATAATATTCCCAAGAATAAACCAAACACTATATCCCAAAAATGAAGTTCCAAAACTGAATTTTAATCAACAAGCCACAAAGACAAAAATCGAATTCGTCGGCAAATTAATTTTGTCCCCATGCTGCCTTCCACAAAAAAGCCAATTCCCTGCATTTCTACGGCCCAACAACAATTAGTGCAATTTCTTGGCCAGAACCAGGACCAGGACGAAGGCAGAGAGCCATTACCTGCTCGACTGGGGCATAAACGTAACGTGCAATTCGTTTTTGGCTAGATGGGAGAGGGGGCAGGAGTAAAAAGAATATGGCCAGGCAAAACAAACTTAATTGTCTGCACAGTTTTATTTACTCCTACGAC